TCAGTTCGCATGCCACCGGTAATGTTATCACACAGCCACATATATGTCTGCTCGCCATTTCAGTGCAAGGGCAAGACGGTGGTTAGCATTGTTGCCTCACAGCAAGCAGGTCCTGAAGGTTCCTCCCACAGCCAACATGCATTGCTGGGGTTAGGTTCATTGGTAATTCTAAATTACCCTTGTGAGTGTGAGTCCGTATCTCTGTGGGTATCTGTGTCAGAATGGAGTACCCTGCATCCCGCCCTATGGTAGCTGGGATAGGCTCCAGCTCCTACGCTGAGGTCATGTCCACACTAACACGTTTTCGTTTGACAACACATCGTTTTCTCTCCGTCGTGGCCTCCCGTCCACACTGAGACGGCGTTTTGAAAACGCTCTCGAAAACGAATACATTTGAAGACGGTGCTTTCGCGTGGCAATGTGGACAGCGAAAACGGAGACTTTTCGAAAATGATGGCGCATTTTAGTCATGTGATGCAGTCATGTGACCAATTAAACTAAGATAGCGGAGGGCATTATACAGCAGTTGTTTTGTTTGCTCTCAATTTAAAGATTAATAGCAGTCTGTACATGCTCCTGATAGCTTTTCTTTAAATTCTTTCAGTCTCACTCACTGTTGCAACTTTGTACTTTTGTGTTTTCGCAGCAACAACTCCACCTCATTGTCAGTCCATTTAAAAAACTCGGTGCTTTTCCTCGACATTTTGCCCCGAGCTCAATGAGCTGGAAAGTAAATAAACAGCAGACAGAAATGAGACAGATCGAATCTCCTTGCGTTTCGCGCATGCGCAGTACTGGAACGTAAGCGTTTTCGACCGTTTCAAGGTGGACGCACAACTCTGTGAAAACGACTGAACGCCGTTTTCAAATCTATCCGGGCTAGTGTGGACGTAGCCTGAGGATAAGCAGAAGAGAATGGACGGGTGGCATCACAGTGCAGATAGCAGCTAGAGAAAGTGGACATGGCGTCAATTTAGCGTCAGCTTTGTCGTTTGGTGCTGTTCACCAGGTACAGCGTGGCGGGTATAAAGGGGCCCTAGCAACTTATGATGACAGATCATTAGCCAGTAAGTGTGCAGTTTTATATCATACAAAATAGTGAAGATAATCCTTCATTTTAAAACAAGGTATGACCAAGATTTACAAAACAGTCCTTATTTTTAAGATTTGCATAAACCATAAACTCAGCAGAAACACGTTTGCAGTCAGACCTCCCCGTGCACTTCTATGGGACCAGAAGTCTTTCTGCAAAAACAGACTTCAGATAGAAACCAGGTTTTAAGGAATTCCCGTGTTGGCTGAAGTTTTACGACCTGGAAGCTTCCATGTTTTATAACTGCCATGGCGTTACTTAGCCAAGCAAACATTGTTATGATGATGTAGGAACACCAACATAGCTAAATGATTCAACATGTTTCTCTGTGTATCCTGAATAAGCGACCTTTAGTAAAAATGCAACTATAGCAGCTCAGAGTGAAGTCCAGATCGGGCTGTCATTGGTAGTTTGCATCACTGCTACTACTGATAAACCACCAAACTAGCAGGTCTGAACACTGAAGCCAGGGTGGGTCACTGTGTATCTCTATTTCTTGTTCATGGCCACCTGAGGACACTTTGGTTTCCATAAGCAGTCGGATTGTAAAGACGAGCTCTCAGTGAGCTCTTTCATAATGAAAAAAGACTAAAAGGACTCTCTGTACCGCTTTCCCTCTGCCATTATGCTCTCTCTCTACAGCCTACGTGCGTCTGCTCACCTGACACACGACCTCACATTGATAGCATTGCTGTCAGTATTTGGATAGAGCTGTCCATCCCAGTTTAAACTCTTGTGCACCACTACTTTTGACATAATAGATCTACCTCACCATGTTCTTGGTCCCCACTGGAACCAAAAACAGGATCTGCAACCACATTTAAAAACCTCCCCTAACCATCCCTGTTCTCAAGAGGACTTCCCAAACCAAACTGATCTGATTTAGGTCCAAACCAGATGCAGCTGATATTGTCACTTGTGTTATTTGACAGATAAGAGGACAGAACGTCCAATCAATTAAACACACTCACAAATAAAGCAGTTTGTTACTCAAACCTTGAGTTAAGCTGATGTTTTTATTTCCTTAAATACAGTCAGATGGAAAGTATACCAACAATGCAACAAAAGGTCAGTAACTATCAGGAGGATGAGGCATTTTCTCCCCCAGCAGTCACGGGTATAAACTCTGTCAAGGAAAGAAAAGGAGAGCTGTCAGAACTTGGTTATCCCTTCATCCCCAACCGCTCGTCTCTATCCTTCGATTCTCCATCCCTTCATCCCTCCACCTAACTGGTATCAAACCTCACACTGACTGACAGCCATCCCTGTGAGGCTTCATTGTCTGAGAAAAAACGAAAACACACACAGACGCGCGCACGCACCAGCCATCTGAGCCGATGCCACGACTCCCCGTCAGCGGTTGCCGTACTCGTGTTTCGTTGCGTTCTGACAGGCCGGCGTCGGCTTATGCGGGCTTGCGAATGCGTTCGGGGCTTCAGAGGTCAGAGGTGCGCCGCAGCGTCAGCGCCCAGATGTGTACTCTCCCTGACGTGTCTGGCCAAGCAGAAAGCTACCAGGAACAACCCTGCGCATGTGCACTAGGTGATAATAAAGACCCGAGGTGCGCATCCACTTAGGCACGTTGACTCGGCACGTGGAATCATTTGTTTGTCTTATTAAAGTTGAGCTCGATCGTCATATTTTAGAATTCCAGCTGCAAAAACATACCCGTGATATCAGGAAATTCAGTTTAATACATCGTCCGCGTTGTCTTAAGATGCAATTAAATGGAATATGTCTTCCTGAACAATACAAACCTACGTAGATTTTAAAAGAGCCCTTTAAACTGTGCAACACTGATTGATGTGCACACACAAGAAAGAAAATCCCAAATTGGCTCAGGCATAGACACAGAAACTTTGCCAAGTTAATTGAGCCAGTCAATATCAACAAAAGTGAAACAGCTAATAAGATGAAGGAAAAGGGGGATGAAAAGAGATGAAAAATTCAATCCTATAAAGGCGAGGAAAAGAGTCGCACGTTTACAGTCCAGTAAAGTTGCAAAATAACACGTGATCAAGAGAAATGGAGTACAAGCATGTAGAGTAATAGCAACAAACTCATCACGGGGAAGAACTAACAGAATAGTGTCAGTATAATTAATCTGAGTGTGTGAAGGTTGGAGGCTCATGAGTGGGAAGACAAAGACTTTTATTTTTGTTTGGTGTGCTTTTGTTTTGCTTTTTTGGCAAAGAACCGCCGCTGTAACCGTGACTGTCCTATAAAATTGCACGCTCATTTACTAGCTGATTGCCCAGGGTCTGTTGGAGGTCTCGGGCCGATTGAGGCTTGAAGTCCTGGGCTGTGAAAACAGACCAGCAACGGGAACAAGTTCAAGACTAAATCTTTTTTTTAAAAACTGCACTTCAAGTTTGCAAATCTTTAAAACGCATCCAGAGCGGGCAGCAGCGTGCGAAACTCTTACGTCTTCTGCACAATGCCAAAACCTTCATCTCTGCGGTGACACTTTCACAATTTCTTCTCGAGCCATCGCTTTCTTTCGCATCCCACGCGGAGGAGCACATTCTTAAAAACCTCACTGGAAGAGAGCCAGCCGGCTTTAAGCTGTCCACTAAGTCTAAGCTGTATGTCCACGATATGTCTGAGGCAGCGCTTACTGGCTCTGTCTGTTTGCTCAGCTTCAGCAAAGCCCATTGTAGTTTTTGTATCTCCCCGTCTTTTACCCTTGTTCCCCTTCCAAGAGAAAAACCCTCTGTTTTTACCAGCATTGAAAGACAAGTGAATTTTAAGAAGAAATAAAAAGGGAAAAGAAACGATAAGGGGATAATTTTAACAGGAAGAAGCAGAAGGAAAAGACGGCCGCCTGAGGATGTGCCCTGTCGGGAGAGTGCACGCGAGGAAGAGTATCGATCCAAGCAGGTGAACCAGGGGTTCGCCCTGGTTTGGAGTGTATGAAGATTAGCTCTCCTGCCTCCACCTTTCCCCCCCTTTTCCTCCATATTTCTCTCTCCTCTCGCACAGTCTCTATTCCTCCTCATCATCCTCCTCTCCCTCCCTGGCTCGCCTCCCTCTGCCCACCTGCCTGCCTGCTGCTTACAAACACAGCTCATTTCTGTCTGTCGTCTTGCCTGCTCTCTGGAACCTGCTGCTGCTGCTGCCGCCGCCGAAGACTGAGAGGACCTGAGACACGCATGCGGCAGCCTGCCAACCTGTTTGTGTGTTTTGGATCACTGGTGTCTTTATCCACCATCTCTGTGTGTGCGTGTGGATGCCTGAGAGCAGAGATCCGGTGAGCTCTTACAGGGATAATCATTGAACGTGTTTCAAGTATCTTCTTAATCACACGAGCCCCGCCTTCACATACAAATGTACACAAATTGATTTTCCTATTCAATATGCGGTTCTCTTATGGCATGCCAAAGTGGTGCGCGTTTCACTACGAGTGCGTGTGTGTTTGGGCAAATCTATAGGCAAGCGCCTGTAGTACACGTGGGAAGGAAGAATTTGAGAGCTGGGAGGCAACTAAACGAATGGCAGCACCATCAGTCTTGGTAATTGAGTTAAATTTCAACATTTAAATCAGCAGTTTCCTGCGACCAAGAGGAAACTTTCCTGCTTTGCATTTTCTTTTGTTTTCCGACAAACGTATTGACTCAGAACAAGAAACTTTTTATTTCTATCACCTCTCAGTATTCATGTGAAAAATACTTTTTTTAAGCAGCCAATGCGTACACTTTATCTGTACTTAAAAGCCAGACAGCACGCCACAAAACATGTCTGCTGGTTACCGCTGCACTGAGAGCTTCACAAAGAGCCTTTGGTTCAGTCTTGGCCTCTATTTACTGGTGGAAACCTTTCCTGATGACCTGTTCTCTCCCACCTCTTTCCCTCCTTTATCCACCGCAATCATCCTCCTCCATCCTCCTCCTGCTTCTTTGTCCTCTAGGTGTAGCGGAGGTGATAGTTCTCGTGGGAGGGCGTCAGGCTATCGGGATGAACCAGCGCTCTCTGACAGCAGTCACCTGTTTTAACCCCCAGAACAGTAAGTGGTACCCACTGGCCAGCCTGCCCTTCTACGACCGCGAGTTCTTCAGTGTCATCTCGGCGGGAGACAACATCTACCTGTCAGGTGAGCTAAATTGTCCACTCCAGCTGTATAACTGTGGCGTTCCTGTCACAGACATTCAGTGGTGTGGGGCCGGAGATGGAAAAATGATAGAGGGACTTAATAACAGGGCAGTTTTGAAAGGGTAATCCTTAAATGTGTAAAAAAACTAAACTGTTAAACGTCTAAGTAAAGTAAACTTTTTTTCCCATGAGTGTTTTGGGATTACTCGTGTACTTTACAGCCAGGTTTGGCTCTGAAATACTCCCTTGAAATTTAGCCCAATCACTTCTGGTTGACACAGGATGATTCACAGGTTAAATTATCAGGTCAGGTTTTAGTTCAAAACTGAATTTATGACCTTAATGGAACACACTGAGCTACTTTTCTTCTATTTATTAATTTTTTTGGCCTTTGACAATAAAAAAATTACTAAGCGTGAGTTAAATTCTATCATTGTGAGCATGTTTAGCTCAAATAACTATAGACTCTCGTCATCCCACAGCCAGTTCCTCTCGTGATTTATTGTGTGGAACAATATTGATTATTGTCAAACCCAGGTAAGGGCAGACTTAATGGATTTTTTGGGGGGACGGGGGGTTATTTACATCATCTGTTGAGACGTGCTTTAGTGCCATTAACTGCAACGAGCTGTAATAACAAAAAAAATCCCACCTCAAGTTCAGTTTCAGAGTTCATTTTCCATCTCAGCAAACGCAGTGGTCAAATCAACTTCAGCATGCATACTTCAACTTTTTAATCAGCACAGACGAGCAACAAGGCAAATTGCTGAAGTAGACCGTATAGTGCTATATAAGCTGCAGGGTAGCGGCTTAATGGACCTCGAGGCGAGATTAGAATTCGCATATAAACTCGAGCGGTTTTGTTTCTTGGTTTTTATGACGCAGCCTGTAGCTGTATAAATGCTTATGAGCACATTACGGCGTCAGGTTAGGAAAGCCGAGCGTGAGTTAAAGACGGTCACGAAGTTGTCTTCAAAGTTGACATTTGTGACCTCTTTTTATTATAGATGTTTTTCCTCTGTGGCTACTTTGATTTGGCAGAGTGAATCTACCCAGGCCGCTGGTCTCTTCTCTGACCTTTTATGAAACAGTTCAAGAGTTTTAAAAGGGGGCCAACCTCAAAGCTTAGTCACATGTTGCTCGGCCCTGTGCTGCAGACAACTCAAATGTCTTTTCAGAGGAGTCGTTTTTATATAAAATGGTTTTGGGTTTTTTTTTTAATAGACCTTTTTCCTCTCTGTCTGGCTCTGTAGTTGCTGCAGCGTTCTGCACTTTGTTTTGCTCCATAGTGCCACACTGTGCGCTCTGCGACTCCCACAATGAGACACGTTTAGGTTGCTTCTCTACCAGCAGACTGAATTTCTGCCTCCATGGTTCATTTGTGCGAGATTCTCACACGGTACTCAGACCTTCATATTACACAGTGGAAATGCAACGGGATTTTCTTTTTCCTGCATGCACCTTTTCCTCTCCCTCTTTTCATATAAATGTAAATGTGTTTTTGGGCATTGGAACAGGTCTGCATGTATCCTCTGGGAGTCAGACAGCCAGTGGGGAAATCAGGGTTTTTCTAGCCAGCCAATCAACAGGCTCCGGCCTGTAACCGTCCTCGCACTCTGAACAGGGTCACTGAATCACGGCTGGTGTCACATGTCAAATAACACAGCTAAGAGAGCTGCTCTGAAGACGGCTCAAACAAGTACAGTTTTCTTGGCTGGCTGGATGACTCAGCAGCAAACAACTTTCTGACGGTTCAAGTTGTCCAAGTCTGCCACTGTTCCTCTTGGGGACTGGAGGGGTGGGCGGGTGGGGGGAACTTCTATATGTACTGTAAGAGTGACTTTTATTAAATATAAAGGGCTAAAAATCAAATTCAGAAATACTTCTTTAATCTGAATTTATTTCATTTCTATTTCTAATCTAATAGGCGCAGGTGCTGTGCAGGTAAAGGAGCCCCTGTTTGTGCTTTCATCACATCTCATTGATGTTGAATCGCACGGAAACAGTCATTCTCATTTTCCAGCTTTTGTGACACTTTTTCTTTGTGTTTGAGTTGTGAAGTTTGAAATAAAGGATTTGGTGGGAAAGGAGACTGAAAACTTTTCTATGGCACTTTCGGAAAGTTACAAAGTGTTAAAAAATAACAAAAAAAATACATGTAATAGAAGTAAAAAGAAACCACTATATTAGATATAAACTCAATTTTATTTAATTCATTTAGATAGCACCCAATCAACACAACAGTTGCCTCACGGCGGTTTATTTTGTAAAATCAGATGACTCTATGTGAGCAAGCACTTGGTGACAGCAGGAAGGAAAAACTCCCTTTTGACAGGAAGAAACCTCTGGCAGAACTGCAGTCATCTGCCATGACCAGTTGGGGGTGTGTTTGATGTAAAAGACGTTGGATAAATACAGGCAATTGTGTAATAAAAAGAAGAAACGCAATAAAAGTAAGTATTAGCAAAAGATTGAGAAGAGGATACAGCGTTTATCTGGCTCACATCTCTAGGCAGTAAAGTCCACAGTTTGAGGGTCACAGGGCAGCAGAGGTAAAGAGTCGAGGTGTGGATCTCTAGCAGCGGACGGTCTCGTAGGGAGTCGACAGATTGCAGATATAGGCAGGAGCCGGAGCACTGAAGGCTTTTTGAACACGCAGTAAAACCTTAAAATCAATTCTGAAACTCCAGGGGTAACCACTGAAGAGAGGATTTCTGTGAGGTGGTTGCTTCGCTTACTGTGTGTTGAAAATCTTGGCAGCAGCATTTTGTAACAGCTGCATTATTTAAATGTTTCACGTGCCGATACCAGAGTAAAGTGCATTGCAGAAGTCAAGTGTAGACGAGAGAGAAGCATGGGTGACCTTTTCTAAGTATGCAAGGAAGGAATAACCCGATCTTGGTCAGCTGTCTCGGTTGGCCAAAGCAGCACTAACTTTCCGTCACCTGACCGCTTAGACAATAACACAGTCATAAATAACACCTCGGTTGTGGAGCTCTTTTTGAACATTATTAGATGAGGGACTCAGACTAGCGGAGAGATTATTAAGTGCTACAAGTGTTGGGGACTTCAGGGGGGCATTTGCAATTACCTCTAATTTGGAGTCGGGAGCAGGAAATTTTTGGACATCCAGTTTTTAATTTAAGCAAAGTAGGACGTGATGCATCAACGGCGCCGAGCTTTACTGGGACATACATGTGGGTGTCTGATTTCTCAGGGTTACCATCTGGAAAGCATGAGTACAGTAAATAAACCGCTGGGGAACTTCATAGAAATAGAGTTCAAGAGATGGGAGGCACCTTAAAGCACGGCACAGGAGAGCCAGGCCAAGAGATGAGAAATGTCGTGAAATCAGGGGTGAATCACTTATGCAACATAGTTCTTCGGGCTGCTGATTAAATACCGGTCCGCTGAGCCGAGGTCAAAGAGAAGATCGATGGTTATTTACTTCTTTGTTGAACACAATTGGGATGAAGCCGGTAGTAAGAGGAAAGCTGACTATCACGTTCTCTTAGCGTTAATAAACATGACAATAATGATGGATGCGTGGATGATTTTGATAGTGATGAAATCATCCAGCACCTTCTCACTTTGTTGAAGCACCTGACAGGTCTGGTTTTAACCAGTCATTAATCTTCAGCCCTATAATTGCCACAGCAGTATTTCCACGAACCCCAGCAGCGACTAATATACACCAAAGCAGAAGATTTAGCCCATTTTTGCTACGACAGAGGAAAACTGAAGGAGGCGTGTTTGTTTTTCTTTCAGATCTCTTGATCGCCCTGCTTATCAACTCTAATAAACCTTTTTTTGTGCATTGCAGGTGGCACAGAGTCAGGTGTGATGGTGGCCGATGTGTGGTGCTACATGTCTCTTTTGGACAACTGGAATCTGGTGTCCCGGATGACCGTGGCTCGCTGCCGGCACAACAGCCTGGTGTACGACGGCAAGCTGTACACGATCGGCGGACTGGGCGTATCGGGGAACCTGGACCACGTGGAGAGGTAAAAGTCACGCAAAGCACCTCTGTCGTGGCTGCCGCGTCAGAGCTTGATCAGCGCGGTCAGTAAGGGGATGCTGAGCAGTACAGTTCGAGCAAATAAATATTCACACTGCACAGCAAAACATGGCAGATGGTGTGGCATGCAGTAGTGCGGTGCAGCATATTGCAAAAGGGGTTGGACAGGTTTCTTAGCATTTTTTTTTCTTAGAGTAAAAAAGGTGCAAAGGAGTGAATCTGGGCTGGGAGATATTAAAATGGTCACAGCTGTGAGTGGTGTCCCGGAGCAGCACTCGTGTTTGTGAGCGGCGCACGAGTGAGACGATTTGCTTTCTGAGATCAGAGCGGCACAATGCGTCTGATTCCATCCACGTCGGCATCGGCACATTAGCGAGACTTTATCTGGAGGTTGTACTTTGTGGCCTGTTCAGCTGGGTCTTCTTTTATGGAAAGTCTTCAGCATGAAACCAGAAATAGGCGACGTCGTCAAGGAGTATAATGAATCCCTAGTGGCACGGAACATGTGCAGACGTTATCCAGATTTAATAGTTTGATTGATCTCATTTTGATTTTTTCTTTAACACTGCTCCCTATTTCTTAGTTTACCCTCTAACCTGGGCTGATGAGCGTGTTACAAAGCGGGGAGAAGAGGAGGGTTGCCTCCCTTGCTCGACAGAGCAAGATTAACCAAAGCAATCAAAAGAACATTACTGAGTATATTAGAGCAGGCCGCTGTCGCTCATTACCTAGCAGCTCAATTGATCTCCGAAGCTTCTCGCAATGCACAACAGTCCTCCAAATGAAACAGCCTAATTTGATATTTCCCCATAATGCTGCCATACAGTGTCGTTATGACAGGGGGGAGATGGAATATTTGCCCCGTAATGGAAACGCATTTGATTCCTCCGTCTCTGAGCTGCTTAATTTGAGAGCTGCCGACGCATCTAGGGCATTCGAGGCTCCAAAGAAATCACTGTTTCACAGTGCGATGTGCCCGTGCACGTTTCTCACTCTCTGCCCTGGTGTGTGTTTTTGTGCAATCATGAGAAGCTTCTGTGAGGCCCACAGCAACTGGACTCAATCATCAGCACCGTGAAACTTTAACCTACTTTGCCTCTCTCCAAGAACGACCAGAGGCCTCCTCTGCTTGTTGTTAGTGCTCCACTGTTGCGCTGTAGCAGACTGTGCAAGCTACAGAGAAATAACACACGAACACACTCACTACACAAAGCCAAACAGAACAGCTGAAGTTTGAATAGTTACTATGGAAATGCACGGTTTGCGCGCTGAGGCGAGGCATTTGTAGCACGAGGTCAAGGTTGTTTTCTCTGGCCATGTCATATAAACGCCAGCAGGTCTCTGAAGCAATTGTCAAGGCAATCAACGGGCTTGTTTCTAAGCAACCCGGGTTTTAATTTTGTCTCCTTTTAAGACTGTTATGTGGAACGAGTAACAAAGTCACAAGGTCCAAGGGTTCACTATACTAGGGCCAGAATTCCTATGCTTATGTTTATGTGTTCAAAAACGGTCAACATAAAGAACTACCTGTGGTAGCATGTGGAGGGAATATCAAAGACAGACTTGCCTGTGGTCGTCCCAGTAACCCTTGACCATGACAGCATTTTTTTGTTGTTTTTTTGTGTGTTTGTCTTATAACAAAAATGATCTTGAGCTGCACGAAGCGCTCTTGCACACTTTTCATTCATTCACATACAGCGGGGTATGCACCGTAAACAGGAAGCAGCTGGGTGCTTCGGGGAAAGACATGTTTCGACTGATAAGACCTGGCCAGGTAGCAAACAGGGTATCTGTTATCGTTGCCATAAGTCTCCTTTTCTGTCCTGTCTACGCTTCCACACTGCAAGCAGTTTCCAAAAACAGAGTTTTAGAATAAATTTAGAAGCTTTCCAAAAGAAGAAAAGGAAGACGATGTTTTCAGTGACCTGAAACTTCATTTGCATTTAGACAAAGGGCCAGAATGCATTAAAAGAGCTATTTTTAAAAGATACTTGCTTACAGTACTCGTAGAAAGTCTTAAACTGCCCCTTATTTCTTTACATTTTGCTTCCAGGAAGCCAGACTTTGTGGTCTTAAGCAACAGTACTCCAGGCTTTCTGACAGTCTTACTTTAATTTGTTTGTGTTTTAAATTAAAAAACAAATAATTAATAAATGGGAAACGCATGTGTTACATATCAGAGTTCTTCCAGTCCATTATTCATGCCAAAGTAAGGGGAAATATAACAATTACAGAATAATAAGTTAAAAAGAGTGCAGATCCTCAGGAGCTAATCACTGTCTCCAACTTTCTGAGTGTGTTTCTTATATTCCTCTTGTTGTGGATGTTCCTGATGACATTTTTCCAAAAATGTTCCCTCTCACTTCACAAACTTGCTGGAGGATCGCTATAAAGACATGTCGCATATTCAATTCATATTTGCTCCCTGTCCTCAGAGGATGGCCGTCTTCCAGCTTCTGTTTTCTTCTTTTTCACTGCAGTATCTCCTCTGTGCCATTACACCTCAATCACCAGCCTTGTAGTTAGCTTTAGGTGTCTATGACCTCGTTGCCAGTTCATCAGTTGCCCTTTCTTCGAACACTTTTGTGGGTACACCTCACATGACCTGCCATTTTGGAGATGCTGTCACCCTGTCATCTAGCCATCTCTGGCCCTTGTTAAAGTACATTTTGTCCATTTTGTCAACTTGAAGAACTGACTGTTCACTTCATGGCTAACACTGTGTATTTATATGTGTGTTTATATTTAGTTATTTACTGGTGGATGGTTTATGCTGCAGTGCATCTGTATATCTCTTATATTTTTAAAGTTTCAGCAGGGATTTTGTTTTGTTTTAAACTATCTTAATGATTTCCAATCAAAATGTGCTATTTCTATAGTCGCTTAATTTTCCGATTGGGCGTGTTGACTTCTGGCAAATGTCTTTGTCGTCAGTGTTGTTGATTAAAAGGTTGATTAACCAACTGGCAGATATTTGCAGTGTGAGCTGCATCTACATTTCTGAAGACTGGGACATGAAGCTATATTCACTGCAAAGCAATTACTGAAGAACAATAGAGGTAATATGAAGATTATAAGTAAAATAAATAAACAAACAAAATAATAATAATATTAATGATAATATTAATATTAATAATAGTTAATATGTCCTTGTAGATGTCCAATTAACCCTTTAAAGCTGGTCGGAGCGGGCACGCTCCGTTTTGCGTAACTATTTTTAAATCCCGGTAGCACTGCAACCACGTAAGCTAGCGCAATAATTTTTTTTGCATATGAAACTGGAGGAGTTGTACTTACATCAGCTTGTCCTCGGTCACGGTTTCCTTCCACATAAAGCTTTGCAAAAATTGCATAAAAAGCACTTGCAGCAACAAAAACATAATATTCCAGAAACACGCTTTGCCGATCCGATCAGCTGTTCGTAACACTTCCTACGTCCATCAGCGTGAACTATCACATGTCCGCCATGTCCTGCCTGAAACCGGAAGTGACGTCATTTGGCGGAAATGTAGTTTTTTACCATCAGAGCCTTATGAGCCTATACTTGTGTTTTTAAAAGTTATGCTTAACTTTATGACTTTGTTGTTTCTGGGATGCTGAGCACTCATATTGCACTGCTGGAAATAGTTTATTTTGATGCATATGCTG